TGAGCGGCTCCCCGCAGACAAATTCTGCATGACTTCACTTGTATGTGGAATCTAAAAAATAAAACAAATGAACAAACATAACAAAATAGAAGCAGAGTAATAGATTCAGAGAAGAAATAGGTGGCTGCCAGAGGGGAAGGGGGTGGGGGAAGTAAAGAAATAGATGAGAAAGATTAAGAGGTACAAATTTCCAGTTCCAAAACAGATGAGTCACAGGTATGAAATGTACAGTGTGGGGCATACAGTCAATAATTATGTAATAACTTCGTATGATGACAGATGGGAACTAGACATTGTTGGTAGTGATTGTTTTGAAATGTATAGAGTTATTGAATCAGTATGTTATGTAACAGGAACTAACATAGTGTTATAGGCAATTAAACTTCAGCAATCAAACTCATAAGAAAAAGGTCAGATTTGTGGCTACCATAGGCAGGGGAAATTGGATAAAGGCAGTCAAGAGGTAAAAACTTCTAGTTATAAATAAGTACTAAGGATGTAATGTACAACATGATCAATACAATTAACATTGCTGTATATTATATATGAAAGTTAAGAGAGTAAATCCTAAAACTTTTTATCACAAAGGAGAATTATTTTTTCTATTGATTTAATTTTGTATTTATATGAGTTGACAGATGCTCACTAAACTGGTGATAGTAATTTCATGATGTATGTAAATGTGATCATATTGCTGTACACCTTAAACTCATACAGTACTATATGTTAATCATATCTCAATAAAACTGGAAAAAAATTAAAGAAGACATGATAGGTGATTACACTGAACAAAAAACCCCAAAGTAGCCATCTATAAATGCCAATATAGTGAATGCTATTCATCTTTACTATTTTGTAATAATTTTGTTTAACATATGCCATAGCCAACACTTTGGTCAAAACTGAGATAACATTTTACTGATTTGCTTGGTAGCAATCAGAGTGGTGACACACAAAGTATCTTGAAGGATCACAAGGGTGTGGAGGGAAGAGAGGAAATAATTACTCAATAGCTCTTGGAAGCCATCCTTCAATTAAGGTCAAATCACACCAATAAATTACAATGTTAAGATTGAATTACTTACTGTTTAAGATACTTTTCCCCAATTTAAAGATTTGGAAATCTTCAAAAGTGGAAAACTTGAGGAAAAAATTTTAATTGCATTTTTAAATAGCTAGATTTTTCAGATCGCTTAGCGTGTATTCAGCTTCAAACAACAGGATACACTACCAAAAGTGGCTTAAAAAAACAGTGGTTTCTTGGAGGGTAAGGGTATAGCTCAGTGGCAGAGCACATGCTTAGCATGCGTGAGGTCCTGGGTTCAATACCTCCATTAAAAAAAGTTCAAAAAAAGATAAGATGAAAACAGGAGTTTCCTACTTTACATCCAAGAAGTCTGAAGGAAGATGTTTCCAGGTTTCTCAGAGAAGCTCAACAATTGCATCAGGTGGCAAGACTCTCCCGCCGCCATCCTTGGTCATTGGCTCAGTACTCTCATGCTTGCACAATGGCTCCCCGTTTGAGGCATTGTAAGTATGACAATATTTGGACCCCTAAAATGGATGTTTCTCCAAATGTTCTTTTTTTTTTAACAGAAGAAATCCTTTCCCAGACTTTTTATTTTCCGCTGGCCAGAATTGAATCTGCTACTGGTTCCCCAGCTGCAAGGAGGAGCACCTGCCATTTCCAGCCTACATCATAGGAGCCATGCTCTGCTAACAAGTAAAAGGCAGTACGTTGCCAACACACTCACTTTTACATGTTGGTATGTGTCCTTCCAAACATTTCTTTCTTGCAGAGGCTTTATCTACTTTGTTTAAGTCATTCTGCACATCAGGTTTTGTAACCTGCCTTTATACTTCATATTGTACCATAAGCATTTGTTCCATAGTAATAGTCTTCAGAAATTTTGTTTTAAATGGTGACATAATATTTCATGCTAAAAACCACCTCCTAATTTACCTAACTTATAATAAGCAGTATTCTTTTTATTTTCAGAAAACGTAGTGGGTAATAATCACTGTATATCAGAGGCTTTCCACAAGCACCTCTAATACTTAAGACAATCCTGCAAGGTAGCTATTATCATTCCAATGTTACAAAAGAGGAAACTGAGAATCAGGGAGTCTAAAACTTACCGGATATTCCTGCTGGTAGATTGCAGAACAGGGAATTTGAACTCAGGCTCATCTGATTCCCAAACCAGCAAACATAGTATTTATTCAACATTGTTGTGGGGGAAAAGAAATGAAAACCCAAGTGAATGCCAATTCATAAATATAAATTAGTTAAGTTTATTATTGAGCAAAACCAAGTAAACAAAACAAACCCCTGAATTCATTCAAGATAGCCAGCAAGTGACTACGGATATTCAGCTCTGTGTAAGTGGAACTGAAGTGCAGTTCATCGTCTTGCTTTTAGTAAAGCATCAGCAGTTATTCAGTTTGCATCAGGAGTTACATCGAGCTGAGTCTAACATCTTGTTTTTCATAATTCTTGATCAGGCTTGCTCTGACGCTGTATTCTTCATAATTCCTTATCAATACTTCCTGCAGTTACTCTGACAGTTCACCTAGCACATACAGTTAGTCACTCTTCAGCAGTCCTCAGTGAAGTTAAAGTTCAGTTTCTCACAGCATCAACAATGAAAACTCCTGATTTAACTCTTCATGTAGCAAAATAAATTCCCTGAGCCAATGGAAAATTCTGTGAACCTGATAGATACATACATACATACAATAAGATTAATAAGTAAATCTTATAGATCTATATATATGGGCACCTCCTACAATAGGCTTGGTCCATATCTTCAAAGAAGTGACAGTCTTTTTGTTCTGAAGACATTACATGCAGCATCTGTAGGTGGCAGCAGTTAAAGAGAATACATAAATAAAGGAAAAATAAGAGAGGGAGAAAACGGAAACATTGAAGAAAGAAATGTATATATAGGGCAATGGATGGGAAACGTGGACAGTGCTTAATTATTGTCAATTCTGCTATGACAGAGTACTTTTTAGAGCAGACTGGAAAACAGCACAGGGCAAATGCTTCTGGCCTCTCAATGGGACTAGCAGAGACTAAGCCAAGTTCAGTTGCTGTCATGTCACTGATTGCATCAGTACAGTCTACCTTCTCTGAGGACACCCTCCTCCCCTCCCGTCCAGGGACTTGGGCTCTTGATTACAACAAACTCCCTGTCCAGTTTCAGGCACTTTGTGCAGTCTAACTTACTTTCTGACCCACTTCCAGGACGTGCACCAAAGGGCTTTCCCAAATACCACCTCCTTTCAGTGTTCAGTTCCACCTTGCTTCCCTGCCCCATATGTCATTTCTGCCTTTGGAGTGGGTGGTTCCAGGGGAAAGGCGACATAAACAAGTTTCCTCTGGACTCCATACAGCAGAGCCAAGTAGGAAACGACACTGGCAGGTTTCCCTGGGAGGCCAGACACTTACTGACTGTCTGGCAGATGGGAAATCAGTTCTGCAGAGAACAGGGAATACTCACAGATCCTCCCGGTCACCCTGCTTTGCCCTTAGCCCTAGTTCCCAGGGCTGCTCTAGGGTCAGTGAACCAGAAACTTCCCCTCAGTCTGTCTGGCCTGACCAAGATAATTTGTTGGATTAGGCTTCGTGGTGGTTCTTCGCCTCATCCTAATCCAGGCCTTTGAAAGGAAGTGGGAAATTCATAGATTTGCTGTAGTTTGATTTTTGTGACTAACCAAGAAAGAAGTGTTGGTTTTATCTTTTCTCCATTCTAGATTACCAATATTTTCACTTAGTACCTTGTTAATAACCTAATACTTCAGGTTTGGAGTTTATTTGAGACAGAAATGATGATGAGTAAATGAATATGTGAAAACTAAATCTTATCATATGGAAATAGATAGATATTAGATTAATAAGTAAATTTTATAAATTTATAGAAAGGATAGACTTTGGATAAATACAGAGGTGGTTTTCGTTATGGCTCCCACATGTCCTGGCAGAGTGACCTAGGACAAGTTGGCTAACTTCTTCCAATGTCACTCAGTTGCTTCATCACTGAAATGAAGGTGATAATTTCTACCTCAGAGGGATGTGAAGAATTATGAGAGAGGCTGTCTATCAAGTGTAAGACATAGACTGATTGAATAGAAATATTAGTTCACTTTCCTCTCTCTGTAACCCATCAGCCTGAGAGAACATAGTTGTTGTTGGTTGTTTTTTTTTTTGAGTTTTTGAAATAATCAACAAATGCACTGAAGTATTAAAGCATTATCATGACCTCAAAGAGTTTATAATCTAGTTGGAGATATTAATGCTAAGTCACATGGAACAATAAGAGAACATTACAAGCTCACAATTTAATTAAGTAATCTATTACATAATTCTGGTTATTGAATTACAGTTGATAAATAAAAATGGACTAGGGTTTTCTGTCAGATAGCCCTTCTCTCTTCCACAATCTTCTAGGTATTCTGGGGAGTAAGAAATAGGTCTGGTTGAGGTTAATTATTTTAAAGTATTAATTTATATTTTTCTGTATAAAAATTGACTGACAGATGTACTTGATGACACTTTTAGGGGTGCTCCAAAGTCCTACTAATCCTCTGAGGAGAAGCCCAAACTCTCTTTCAAAAACAAACACATGGGGAGGGTCTAGCTCAGTGGTAGAGGGCATGCTTAATGTGCTTGAGGTCCTGGGTTCAATCTCCAGGGCCTCTGTTTAAAAAATATATATATATATAAATAAATAAACCTAATTACCCACCTTAAAAAAAAGGTTTAAAAAAATCTTAAGATTTTATGTTAGAATTAACCTCTCCTTCAAACTGTCTTATAAATCCCTAACACTTTGCTCCCACTTTATACCTATCATGATTATTATTACTGTATTTTATACAGGCAAATTTTCCCATGCTTATTCACATTCAATAAAAGAGTTCATCAAAAATTTATGAAATAAGAATTCTCAAGCTCCCTCCTACTCCCACTCACCAAAGAAGCAGACACTCTTCCAAATACCAAGAATAACAAAAACATGCAAGTTCCCTTTTGAAACTCCTCATGAAATCAAAACTTCATGGGGGAACATCAAACCTGTTGGACTTTTCATCTTTGTGTCTTACTTTAGAAGCAGTTGAGAAACATATGCTTTTTTTTAAGTATTTTCAAATGACTCATGAGTCATGTTCCTTCCTGGCCATCTACTACAACTCCAGGAAGTTATTTACCATCTCTAGATGTGTCTCTGGCCACTTCTTTTGCCACATGCTGAGGAACTAGGATGCGTTTCCTCCCAGGAATCAGACAAAGCAGTAAGTGTGGCAGAAAGACAGAAATTACCATCTGGATAAGAACCAAGTAAGCTCAGTCCAAATTAAAGAGGAGAGTTGTCCTCTGTCAACTCTGTGCCAGACACTGCTCAAAGGATCTTATATATTAACTCATTTAATCCTCACAACAACCCTGTGAGGCAGATATAAATGTCTTCATTTTGTAGATGAGAAAAGTAGGGTGAGAGAGATGAAGTCGCTTATCCAAGGTCAAAGAACTAGTAAAGAAAAATACAAAGTAAATTAAGATTTCTTTATTTTAAGAAATTGACTCACATGATTATGAAGGCTGGCAAGTCCAAAATCTGTAGAGTGGGCCCAGCAGGCTCAAGAGCGAGAAAAGAACCCATGCTGCAGTCCAAGTCGAAGGCCAGCTGCTGGTAGAATCCCCTCCTGCTCTGGCGAGGTCAGTCTTGTTCTTCTCAGGCCTTTAGCTGCTTGAATGAGGCCCACTCACACTATGGAGGGCAATCTGCCTTACTCAGAGTCAGCCGGTTTAAATGTTAATCTCATTGAACACAGCCTCACAGAAGCATCCAGAATAGCGTTTGACTTCATTGACGTATCTGGGCCCTATAGCCTAGCCAAGTTGACACCAAATGGCACAAAATATATATATATTTACAAACTTTTTCCTAAAAAATGGAAGATATTCTTGGGGATCATGAGTAGGAACATTTGAAAGCACTGTTCAAAAGCTAAAAATACACAAAGCATTGAGCCAAATTCTGTGTTGACCAACCATTAGACATAACTGAACATTAGGTTGCATAAATAAATCTTGACTATTAACCTTTTTTGAAATTGGCCTCTTTCTTCTAAAATCTGAGGGCAAACAAAAATCAGATTTTTCAAGATTTTCAAGAAAAATGATGCATTTCTGCATATAAATACTCTAGCTACCTGAAAGAACGAGGAGCAGTTCTACATTTACCAAAGCCTGAACTGGAAATAGGGCAGACTGGACAAAGCATTCAGACTTCTTTGTTTTCCAAAGGAGGAATGACAAGAACCCCCTCCCTCCATGACACACACACACGCACATGCACACACATGCACATATACACATAAATTATGCATAAGTGATTTAAAATTAAATTTAAACAAATTAAATTAAAGTGACGTAATTTCTTCCAGAATGTTGTGGGTAGTCCTGGTGATGAGAAATTATCTAAAGCACTGGTGTAAACACTATTCAGAGGGGATGTACCAGACAATCCATTAGGTTGCAGGTAGAAAATACTGGAATATATTAATTCTCTTATGAGAATGAGTATATTATGTATGTATAGTTTTAGTTTAAAATAAAATGTAAAACAAATATTCATATTGACACTTGCCCTGGTGATTGTCTACCAATCACTTGTCACATATCATATGAAAGAGGGCCTCAGGGATGAATGGAAGGTATACAATGTCAAAGGGTTGACAATGGTACCCTTCCTCATTGGTTTTTTATATATCATAGATTACATGTGCCTCGTGAAATGGATTTACAAATTCTAGTCTGATTTCAACCTAACTAACCCTCACAAAATGAACAAGTGACTAAAAATCATCTTCTAGAAACTAATTGAATATGCTAATGATACATGCACAAATGAACAATGAGAAAACTGCAGAGCTGACACTTCTATCCCTAGCACAAACTCATCAGACTCATTATCAAAAATATTATTGAAATATCAATTTGTATGCATTAATGTTATGTATGGTTAATATACAAAATAAAGATTACTATTTTTAAAATATTCCATCGTATCAAGAGATTGTAAAAGTGACCACAAATTGTATCCATCCTGTATGCATGCCCTTTGCAATGTAACTTTGCAGTTGCTCCCATGATGAGCTAAATTATTTTCTTCCATCCCTCAAATCTGGACTTGGCCATGTGGATAAAGGGATGGTAGAAATACTTACACAAGCAGAGAGTTGAAAAGTAGTTGTACATTGGGGCTTGCTCCCTTGCTGCTCTTAGGAATCCTGGAGCCACTATATATAAATAAGCCTAAATTAGCCTGCTGGGTGACGACGTGTGGCCCAGTATGAGAGCCAGCTAACTGCCATGTATATGAGTGAGGCCACTGACTGCCAGCTGACCAGGAAAACATGAGCAAGACCCCCTGAGACCAACAGAAGAACTTTGCAGCTAATCCAGTGCAAAGCGCTAACCACAGGATCAGGAGCTGATAAATAAATGATTATTGTTTGGGGCAACGAAGTTTTGGAGTGGTTGGTTACACAGTAAAGACTAACTGATATGAAAATTAGTACCTAGAAGTGGATTTCTGTAGTAACAAAAACCTGAAACATGTGGCCTGGGGTTTCCGAATTGGGCAGAGACTGAAAGAGCATTAAGAACTCAGTAGCAAAAACTAGAAAAAGGGCAAGCAAACTATTAGTGGTAACTGGAAAAACTGAGGAAATGGCTATAGCTGGTCAGAAAAATGGCAACATGCATCATGTTGTTAAAAACTATTGGCATAATGGTTGCCTACAGGAACTTGGAAGATTTTTTTCTTTTTGGAAGATTTTTTAAAAGTTTTTATTGAAGTGTAGTTGATTTACAATGTTAGTTTCAGCTGTACAGCAAAGTGATTCAGTTATACATATACTTTTTTTTATTCAGATTCTTTTCTATTATATGTTATCACAAGAAACTGAATATGGTTCCCTGTACTATACCGTAGGTCCTTGTTGTTCATCTATTTATATATAGTAACATGTGTCTGTAAAGGGCAGAGAGGGATAAATTAGGGGTTGGAAGATTTTTTTTAAATACATATTGCTAATGAATTTATGGACCTTGCAAAATGATTTCCGGACCAAACTAAATTGGTTTCATTTAGTTGCTGAGGAAGAAAGAAAAGAGCTGAAGAAAAAATTTAGAAGGATTATACAGGAAATAGAACTGTTTCTCATCCCTTATCTCTCTCTCTCTCTTTTTTTTTTTTTTGGCTTTTAATTTTTTTTCATTGAGGTATAGTCAGTTTACAATGTTGTGTCAATTTCTGGTGTACAGCATAATTCTTCAGTCATACATGAATATACTATATTCATTTTCTTATTCTTTTTTACCATGAGCTACTGCAAGGTATTGAATATATTTCCCTGTGCTATAT